GGTGCATAGTGTACGGTCAGCTGATGATGATAGGATAACAGATATCGGACCAGTTGACTAGTGGAGGTTATCACATACACAATTATTAAAATACTTTACACCTACTGCACACACATCTAATTGATAATATTTATTAAACAAAAACTTGTATAAATTCTGCAACATTACACAATCAATATGTGATTTCAAATTAGCGTAATGTAAATATAAACAAAAGAACAAAAAAGATAGCATAAATAAATTGCATACAATTTTATGGATTTTATTAAATACGTTTAATTAAATATAATATTAAATCAAATAAAATGACATAATTAAAAAAAAAATTAGCGTGTCTAAGTGGAAATCACCAATTATTGTTATTAATTTTGAGAAGCGTTTACAATTATTGAAAGAAAACATATATAAAGTAGCGCATCTGTTGGACACTTCCATTACTTTAATAATGAATATTGATAAAATATAAGTTTCATACCGCCATCTATGAAAAAATAATAGCAATCGACTTTTACGAACATAATTTTCAATAATAAATAACTGACGCTATTAATCAAGATAAAAACTATCATATTGTCTAAGTTGGACCCAATTACACATGTATGTTAAATTTCATCAAAATCGGTTCAGTAGTTTCGGTGTCCATCGCGGATAAACACCGTGACATGAGATTTTTATATATAAAGTCATATATATGTATAAACAAATTTTTATTGTTTATTATTAGATATAAATATTTAAAGATTCAAATTTTTTTGAGTTAATATACATGTATAATATATAAGGGATTACAAATTTAGGTAGCTAATTGGTTTTTTATGACGATATTTATAAAATAAGGTATATAGCCTTTATTATCAATGGTAATAAGACACATTGTTGTGAGTTTATAAACACATTAACTAGCAATACAGAAATTATATCTATTGATAGTCATAATTGACAATAAACACTCCATGACTGACAGCGATGTCTAAAACACTAAAAAGTGAAAAATTAATATAGTTAAAAAAAGCTGAAAAACACACTTCTAAAGCATATTGAACTAAAAAGTTAAAAATAATTTAAGCTTAAAACAATAATAAACAAAAATACTAACAAAAAAAGTATTATTGTGAAAAAATGCGTTTTGAGCTTTGTGCCATATTTTTGTATATTGAGCGTCCGACGCTTTTTTTCAAAATAATACTAGTATTTTTCGTTCATTTTGTTTTAAGCTTATTTTAAAAATTATTTTTAATTTTTTAGTTCGATATGCTTTAAAGCGTGTTATTCAGTTTTTTTTAACTATATTTTTTGTACCAATTTTATCAATGACAGAGTCGCCAATGGTGCTCATGCATCAGTGTACAAAATGTGTAAGTCAATAATCTTTGTTACTGTTAAAATTCTCTCATGCCTCTCATTGTACAGTCTTCCCTTCCCTTCCCGTGTGTTTGTTATCTGTTATTTTAAATAGTTAATTTTAAGTGTTTTGTGTTTTTGTGTTTATCGTTTTATCGGCAACTTTTGCCTTTGAAATTTATTATATGTATGATAAATTGTTTTTCATTGCTGTATTATTCCGTTGTTATTCGGCAACTGAAGCCGTCTGGTTTTTTTGTTGTCCTAATGTGCTAAATAAATTTACTCGCTTTTTCGTCTTTTTTGAGTTGTTTTATGCACTTTAGTTATTGTAATAAAAGCACCTAACCAAAATCAAATATATTAAATTTTTATTGGTTGGTTGATTGATTGATAAGATAATCTCTTTCATCGCACAGGTAATTAAAGATAAAAGTTTAAACAACCAGGTTTTTTGGCGAAACATCCAGACTACCGGATGGGTCTCTTAGGAGACCCGGTATTGTTTTAGCTTCGATGCGAAGCTGAGAAGGTATTCATTTTACTATGATGTGTTTTTTTTTGTGTCTATGAACGCTCAATCTCAGCTCTCGCTGGACTGATTTTAATGAATAATATGTCAAAAGATAACAAATCGTATCTAGTCGAAGAAAAAACCTGAAAAATTGAAAAAAATTACCTCATCCTAGTAAACCAGGGAAATCTCCCTAAAAAATTCAAAATTTAAAAATCGCTAATTTTCGACATTTTTTCAATTTTTTTTACTTAAAATTGCCATAACTTTTTTAAAAATGACCGAATCAATATTTTTTTATATAATTAGACACCTTAGGTATTTACCTATCATTTGACATATTTTTACGAATCTTTGAACCTATACCAGCAGACTTTAACAAAAATTTATTTTTTCAACTTAACTTTTGAAAATGTTCTACAAATACTGACACTTTTATATANGTATCTAGTCGAAGAAAAAACCTGAAAAATTGAAAAAAATTACCTCATCCTAGTAAACCAGGGAAATCTCCCTAAAAAATTCAAAATTTAAAAATCGCTAATTTTCGACATTTTTTCAATTTTTTTTACTTAAAATTGCCATAACTTTTTTAAAAATGACCGAATCAATATTTTTTTATATAATTAGACACCTTAGGTATTTACCTATCATTTGACATATTTTTACGAATCTTTGAACCTATACCAGCAGACTTTAACAAAAATTTATTTTTTCAACTTAACTTTTGAAAATGTTCTACAAATACTGACACTTTTATATATACCTTAAATTAAATCTTATGTAATATACTTTATTTTGAAAAAAAATTGACCTCTGGATTTGTCTTCATGGTGAAAATTACTACTACTAAAAATATGCTATTTTTGTGTTAAAATTCCGGGTTTTGTAATTTATTTCATTTTAAAATATTTGACAATGGGAGTACACTGATTTTCATAAATATTATATAAATCAACTTGATGTAGCATAGAAGGAAAACTTATTTAAATTATTTGATTTTTTTAAGTAAAGAAAAATAACATTGAAATGCGAACTAGCTTAAATTTCCATTTTTTTTTAGACGGCAGAAATTATTTTAGTTAAAGTAAATTATTAAAATTAATTCAGTTCATATTTCAATTGTATAATCTATTTAAAAGCCAAAAGTTACTAGGAAATGATTACTATTATTTCTATTGCAATAATATATTACGATAAAAATTCAAAAATATATTGAGCTTTTCTGATAAATCTACTATTAATACTAATTATAAAACTTTCTGACTGCATAGTAATCTTAACGATACTACTTTTTTAATTCTCATAAAATTTTCTATTTAATGATGTCAATTTCAAACTTGCAAATTGAGCTAAAAGATAATTAATTAATTTTTTTTTATTATAAACTTTTACAAAAATGAACTTTAAAGGATTAAAAAAATAGGTTAAATATGTTATTTTCTTATTTTTAACATATTAATAATCAAAATCAGTATTAATTTAAAACAATTTTTTTTTGTTCTTCATTATTTTTTTATATGTAAATACTTATTTTTTAATAATATTATTAATTTTAAAACTTAGGAACGATAGAAAAAGTCTAATTGCACATTTGAAGACATCGCAAAAAGTTGACTTAGAAAAGTATTCCTTGTAGTCCAGTGTATTTATTCATAAGTAACAATTTTTTATTAAAAAGTATTGATCAATCCCTTTAAAGTTTTATATACGTTAAAAGTAAAGGAATATAGAATTACTTTATTATTTTTATAATTTCTCCGTATAAATTGCAATATTAAATTATTGAATATTAATTTTTCTTTTTACATTTCTTAATTCTCACTTGACCAATTTTTTTGAACGATATGTCAAATGATTACACTTCGTATATAGTTGAAGATATTACCATTAAAAATTGAAAAATTTTACATTTTATTAATTAAAAAGTTACTTAGTTCACATTTGCCATATAGTCAATTAAAATCATTAATGTCTAATGTTTTTAAAGTATATATTTTCGAATTATGTATGATATGATAGTATGTACCAACTATAAAATAAATAATTTTTATTGATTTCTTGACTATGGTGTACTAACAATCTATAATATTCAAAATTATTTAGTAAAATTTTACTGTTTAAATGATTTTTGGTTACCTCATTTTATAATTGATTTTTTCAATTATAATCAATTTTTATAATACCCTTAACTGATTAGAATTTTTTTTATATATAAATACTCATTTTTACAAGTTAGAAATAATATCAAAAATTTGAAGTGATAGAAAAAGTCTATTGTAGATTTGAAAACAGCGCAAAAAGTTGAAAAAGAAAAGTATATTTTTGCTTTTGATGAAAATTCCTTGTAGTCCAGAGCATTTATTTATAGTAACAAACAGTTTTTATTGAAAAATATTGCATCAAGCCCTTTTAATTTTTATACACGTATAAGTGAAGCAATATACAACTACTTTATTATTTTTATAATTTCACCGTATAAATTACAATAATAAATTATTGAATATCATTTTCATACTATATTTAATAACTAAAATTAGTATTTATTCATATATTACATTTTTAAATCAAAGAACTACTAATCAGAATATAAATAAGGAAATAGGAGATCATGTAGCTTCTAGAATAATCCATTAATTTGTTAAAATTATCTACAGATTTGCATCAAAACGTTTCTAATGATAGTAATTTTAATTACTGTCAGATTAAATCTATACTGGACCCAACTATGCCACGTCACCACTGTGCTACCTATTATTTTTTTATAGTTATATTTATGTAATGGGTTGTATTTTATTATAAATTAACTTAATTTTATTTATGTGTGGAGAGCATGATTTCCTTTTTCTTTTGGCCATCTCTAAGGAGCGAGTGTCCATACCGCTCCTGATGTTTTTCATTAATATCCGATTAACATTAACGGAAATTATTTCAGTTCCTAGCCCTGGTTTTATTATATATAAGTTGAAAATTATGACATAAATGTTTATTAAAATAATGTATTTAATAAAATAATCTATTGAATTAATTTTACTTTTAAACATACTAAGTTCAAAATTTTTTTTTATTTTATAAAGTAATTACCTAAGTATAAAATATCAACTAGATTGGAATTAGTATTATAGATAAAATGTATGAAAAAAAGGTAGATGTGTATGGTGGCACTGTTACCAGAGTAAAAAGCGTAGGAAGAGTAACAGAAGGTTTTCGGGAAAGACTAGTAGTGCACCAAGGTTCTGTTTTAAGCCCTTACTTATTCTCTACAGTGATGGATGAAATTACTAGAGAAATACAAGGAGAGGTGCCGTGGTGCATGTTGTTTACTGACGATTTAGTGTTAATAAGAGAAAATAAGGAAGAAATCAATCAAAGGCTTGAGATGTAAAGATCAGCTATTGAAGAAAAGGGTTTAAAAATAAGTAGAAGACAGAATATATAGAGTACGAGTTTGACAATGGAGAACACGAGGNATATATAGAGTACGAGTTTGACAATGGAGAACACGAGGTAGGTGAAATAAGGAGATTAGTGACAATAGGTGAGGACGGGATTGGAGAGGTGGAAAGTTTTATGTATTTAGGGTCAGTTGTGCAAAAGAGCGGTGGTATTGATGAGGATTAAGTGCGGGTATTTGAAGTGGAGAGAAGCGTCTGGCGTCTTATGCAATAAAAGAATTCCAATGAGGCTTGTTGATATTATTAAACAACACACTGGGTACAGTAATATTATTTAAGATAACAGTTTAATGTATTTTTACTTATGTTAG